CCAACGGCGAAAAGCCGGATGAGTTCGAGTCGGGGATCTCCCAGGTGAGGGGTGTCGCTGGGCGCCGGGAGGGGCGGGAGCCCGCGTGTGCGCGGCGGGGGTCGCCGGGGGTCGGCGGGGGTCGTCGGGGTCGCCCACCGCCCTCTGTGCTCCGCAGGCGCTCCTGGAGCTGGAGATGAACTCGGACCTCAAGGCTCAACTAAGGGAGCTGAACATCACGGCCGCCAAGGTGGGTCCGGGTGTGCGGGGCGCGTCGCCGGGGCCACGTGCGTGGGGCCGCTGCGCCGTGGGCACCCTGGGCACCCTGGGTGCGGAGCTGGGGAGGCCGGAGAGGAGCCCGAAGGCCGCCCCCGTGGCCTGGAGTGGGTTTGCCGTAGAAAGCAGCGCGTCCTGCAGTTCTCGGGCGCTGTCCGTTGCCTCAGACGTGTGCTGCGCTTACAGCTCCCGGAGACGGACCTCTGCGAAGTTGTTTGTTTCGCGTTTGTAGTGCGGCTGGACAGCTGCAGAGGTCCTCGCAGCGCACAACCAGCCATCGAGTTGGGTTCAGGAAGATTGAAGATGGGTTTCTTGTGGTAGAATGCTGACCGTGGATGTGGATCTTAAGTGTGGGTTTTCTTACTTAGGAAATCGAAGTTGGCGGTGGCCGGAAAGCTATCATCATCTTTGTTCCCGTTCCTCAACTAAAATCCTTCCAGAAGATTCAAGTCCGGCTAGTTCGTGAGCTGGAGAAAAAGTTCAGTGGGAAGCACGTTGTCTTTATTGCTCAGGTAACCCGCCCTTGAATGTTTTGTAGAAGTCATCCCGTGTTTATGTTAGCCTGGTAGGTGGAGTAGTGAGATGAGCCCTGGGTCGCAGCATTTCAGAACCGCGCTGGGTGGGGGACGAGGACGTGGTTGCAGGCCGTGTGAGGCGATGGAGTGCTGTGCTTTTGTGCTGCTCGGTCTCTCCCTGTTTGCAGTGATTAATCACTTCCATGGGTGGTCAGACCAGGAAATGGGAGGCTGTCGAGTGGAGATTTCTTTCCCTCTGTCTGATAGAATTACTGGTTGAGGCTCAAGGCTACCCAGCTGAATCAGATGTAGGCTATGGGGTGGCAGGGGATGCTAAGGAAGTTTGTAGGAAAAACCGGCACTTAGGAAAGTTCTGTTTGGTGCAACTGGTGTCTGGGGAACTCACGCCAGGCCTGATCTAGATGAAGGAGCGTTCCCTGGGACTGAGGCCCTCTCAGCACCTGTGTGGGTGTTAGGAACCTGGGAAGTGGTTTTTCCCAGCAGCATTTTAATATGGGCTGTGGATTCTGAAACCCTGAAGCATCAAGAATTAATGTCAGTACATTGTTTAGGTTGTTTCGCTGCCCTGACCTTTGGACTTAATTGTTACTCTTTGCTTTAAAGCAGTATATAACGGTTTTTAGCTTTGTGTCAACTTACCTATTTTTTTGTATTCTGTTGCGTGATAACTCTTACCCTACAGAGGAGGATTCTGCCTAAGCCAACTCGAAAAAGCCGTACGAAAAATAAGCAAAAGCGCCCTAGGAGGTGAGTGAACAGCATCAGAACTGTGGGTACTGTTCCTGTGAACAACCCATGATTTGTGCCAGGTGTGGTTTGTCACGCAGGCCACTCACGTGGGAGTTTTTAGGGCGCTCTGCTTGGTTCTCGTGTGTGTCGTGTCTGGAATACTTGGGCAGCCAGCCGCCTGTGTTCTTGTGGGCAGTCCTCAGTGGCTCAGTGCGGTCAGAACGGCGTACTCCAGTTCTTGGCAGAGGGTGGACGCTGAGGTCTGGTTTGTGCAGGTGCTAACGCATTCTACACTGAAGTGAGGTCTTCAGAACTTCATGGAAATGCTTGCTATGGAAAACTGCCCGAGTTTTGAAGTTACCTGGTGAAAAATAATTCCATTTTCCGTGAAGTTTTGAGGTGCTTGGATAGTTCACCTGGGCTGGGACGTGCTTTTGCTTCTTATTTTTACTGTAGATTGGAGGTAAAAATAAGTTGGGTGGATGTTTCTGGTACTGACATTGCAGGTGAAAGTATCAGTGCAGTTGAAGATGCTGATAAAGTGATTTCTGAACTTAGCTTGGAATTCACCTGACATAAATGCGTGATTGCGTTCTTGCACTAGGCCGTTTGGTATTGTCACTGTCTCTGACTAGTATGCTTCACAGACTTGGATTATTGGGGTCCTGCATGCAGGTACTTCCCCTGAAGACTAGATTGGGAAAATGTGTGGCCTGTGTGGTTATCCTTAGCTATTGGTGAGAGAACTGACCCAGGGCTTGGAGAAGTGGCTCGTTACAGCTAATGATAGTAGTGCTAGGAGTTTATTTCTCAAGCTCAGTGTTCTGAAGACCTCGAAGTCTAGCATTGTGGCTGTTAGTGCAGGCAGGAGGGGAGTCATAGCTGAGGCTGGCAAAGCGGTGCCAGGGTTTCTTGACCTTGAATTAATGTGGCTTCCAGTTTGGACTTGCATGTGCAGTTGTGGAGTGGCCTTAGTTGGAATTTTTTTTTGGACGGAGTGGACAGTGAGAGAGAGACAGAGAAAGGTCTTCCTTTTTCCGTTGGTTCACCCTCCAATGGCCGCTGTGGCTGGTGCACTACGCTGATCCAAAGCCAGGAGCCAGGTGCTTATCCTGGTCTCCCATGTGGGTGCAGGGCCGAAGGCCTTGGGCCATCCTCCACTGCACTCCCGGGCCACAGCAGAGAGCTGGACTGGAAGAGGGGCAACCGGGACAGAATCCGGCACCCCTACTGGGACTAGAACCCGGTGTGCTGACACCGCTAGGTGGAGGGTTAGCCAAGTGAGCTGCAGCGCCAGCCTAGTTGGATTTTTGTTACTGTGATCCTTTGGTCATCTCAGTGCTGAGAACCGGAGTTAGGGATTGGGTGTAGACATGCATGGCACCCAGCTGAGGGACTGCTGCCCAAGGCTGTAACTTAACTTCCCCTTTAGCCCAAACCTGTATTTCCCAAATCTTCTCAGGTAATGACTCCTGTGTTCCTAGTGGCAGTCTGTACACTTAAATGTTTCAACTTGAGACTTCATCTTCAGGGTGTTTGTTGTGAAGGTGGGACGTTATGTAGAAACTGTATATGGAACATTGAATTTGGATCTCTTCCTGTGCTGCCAGTGTGTGACCCAGTGCTGGCTTGCCATGCTGGGCGGGGCACCAGTGCAGCTTCCTGTGAGCCCCTGCCTGACCTGAGGGAAGCAGCTAGTGCTGCGCCAGGTGCTGTGACTGAGCTAGGGTGTTCGTGGGGTAGGTGGAGTCGGTACATTTTCTACTATGTTGTGAGCTTCTGATGGGTTTGCCAGGACACAACTCCTTGGTGAATTGAGTGTGTCCTGAATTGAACCTGCTCCTCTGCCAGGCTACAGCCAGGGAGCTTGTGAACTTGATAGCAAGAGATTGTTGACTGTTGATAGGATGGGAATGAATTGGAAATCAGGAACCACATGAGAGGCTGGTGTGGAATTTGTGGAAAAGGGGATCTTTAAAAAGTTCATGGAAGTGGATTTTGTAAAATATGCATGGATTTCAAACTTTAAACTCCTTTTAATTTTCCATGAATGTTTGAAAGTACTGTTGTAGATTTTAGGGTGAGATAGTGACTCAGTTGATCTTGGAGAACAGGAGTTTGGGTGATACCTTGGAGGCCAAGGAGAGCTTTTCTGTGATCCTGTGTTACATTTTACTATTTTTTGAATGTTTATTTACTTGAAAGACAGAATTTAAATCTGCTGGTTCACTCTTCAAATTCCCATAACAGTTGGAGCTGTAACAGGCCTACGTCAGCAGCCCAGAACTCAGTGCAGGTCTCCTGGGTGCATAGCGGGGAGCCAGTACTTGAGCCACCACCTGTACTGTCTTCCAGAGTACACAGAAAGTTGGATTGAGGCAGGACTGGAAACCAGGACGAGGCCAATGTAGGATGTGGGCGTCTCGGGCAGTGTCTTCCCCACTGCACCGGGGTCCTGCCTTAGTGTGACCACTTTGGAGATAAGCCTGGCTGCTGAAGAGGCTGCTGGCTGATTGACTTGAGAAATCTTACATGAGTAGAAATAAGAATCCATGAAGGCTCTCTAGCCTTCTATCTCTAGAAACAGTCCCAGTGCTTGGGGGAGCAGGGGCCAGCTTGTCAAGGCTTTTGAAATACGTGAGTAAGCCACCTGGTACCCTCTTCAGGTCAGGTGTGATGCAGGAAACGTAGCCGTCCTACTTGAGACTTGATGCTAACATGATGTCAGGAATCCGGAGCCCGCCAGGGCAAGCATTGCTGGGTTGCTTATTTCTGTCCCTCTGCTTTAAGCCGCACTCTGACAGCCGTGCACGATGCGATCCTTGAGGACTTAGTCTTCCCAAGTGAAATCGTGGGCAAGAGAATCCGTGTGAAACTGGATGGCAGCCGGCTCATAAAGGTCCATCTGGACAAAGCACAGCAGAATAACGTGGAACACAAGGTAATCGCTGACGTGAGATCACGGGAGAGTAGTGCAGTCTGAACTCGGCCCTCTCCTCAGCTCTGGTGATACTGGGAAAATGGGACCCTTGCATGCTCTGTACCTTTGAAGTATTTAGGAAAAGTGGAAGTAAAATACTTCATGCTCTGAGTAAATTTGAGGCTGTCATGTTGATGAGTTAGGGGTGGGGTGGTGTTTATTAGAAACCGGGTAAGCCTGGTACTACTTAACCAGTGCGGGTAGCCACTGGTGTCCCCCATGGGCTAGACCATGTGACACAAAGGAGCACGGCACACAGGTGCTGGAGGGTCCTGTCCTGTGACTCGGGAAATAGGCTTGTCCCTCAGCTTCTCGGATCTGGTTGCTGAGAGGAAATACCATAAAGGACACCATTCCTCACAATCTAGATTTCCAGGGGGGTATGTGTGTGTGTGCGCGCGTAAAAGTTTTGTGACAAGTTATTTCTCTTGCAGGTGGAAACTTTCTCTGGTGTGTATAAGAAGCTCACAGGCAAGGATGTTAATTTTGAGTTCCCAGAGTTCCAGTTGTAAACAAAAATGACTAAATAAAAGATGCTTCACAGTATTCTGTTCACGACGTGTGTTTCGAAATTCCACAGACACCGATGTCCAGCCTGGCTCCTGCACGGCTGGAGGGTTAGAGCAGAGGGTGCCTTTGCTGGGAAGTTAGATGCTGTGAGAGATGTGTTACTGATCCCTGGTGAGTCTGATAGGTGGGTCTCAGGAAGATTCTGCTGAAAATGGTGGATGTTGGCCCTTTCAGATTTTTGCATGTGAAAGGGTATACAGGGTTTTTTAAATGTGAATTTCAGGGCTGGCACTGTGGCTCAGCAGGTCAAGTCCTCTGCAGTGCCCACATGCCATATGAGTGCTGGGTCAAGTTCTGGCTGCTCCACTTCCAGTCCAACTCCCTGCTAACGTGCCTGGGAAAGCAACTGAAGATGGCCGAAGTGTTGGGGCCCTTGCACCTATGTGGGAGACCCAGAAGAAGCTCTTGGCTCCAGGCTGGCCCAGCTCTAGCCATGTTGCTACTTGGGGAGTGAACTATTGGATAGAACTCTGTCTCTCCGCCATCTCTTTCTCTCTCTAACTCCGACTTTGAAATAAATAGATCATTACAAAAATGTGTGTTTCTATCTGTGTGCAGTGTTCTGATAGGGCAATCAGTGTTTCCCCTTCTTTGACATTACTTTGTGATTAGAGGCTTGGGGCTTGTTAGGTTATCTGACTGAAGTAGTCTTCCCACTATGCCGTGTTAACACCAAGAATTTTCTCTTATAGTGTGATTTCGTACCCATTGTATTGTGCAAACCATTATCTTTCCCTCTACCTCTTTTTTTTATTGTGAAAAAGGAATTTGCCATACTCCTCATTTTCAGGTATATAGTTCAGGAGCCTTAAGTGTGTCAAACAGGTCTGCAATTTTTTCATTTCTCTTGTAAGACCTGAAACCACTCATTAAGCCAACAGTGCTCTTCTCCCTGTTCTCTTAGAATCATTGACTGTACATAGATCCATGCTAGGTTTTCAACGGGCTGTCAAGGATCGGTCAGTATCCAATTCCATAGTTGGCTGAAGGCATTGGGTAGCGCGGAACCTGGGGTTCATTCAGCATTAGGTGACCGCAGTTGTACCAGGTCTTCCCTAGGCATTGGGAGGGTATAGCAAATGTTTGGTTTTCCAGTTGTGCCAAGTGGCTTTCAGGAAATTACTAGGCCTTAGTACTACATTGGAAAAACTGCCTTCCGCTTTAGAGTGAGGAGGCAGTCTTTGGGAAGGGAATCTCAACAGTTACTTCCCGTCAGATTGTTCCTGTATGTAGTGCTCAATTCCAGTGAGCTGTGGGGTGCTGTTCAGAGGCTGCGCTCCGGAATGAGCACCTGGGTGAAGAGCAGGAAGACAGACGTGAATGCTGCAGGCAGGCGTGTGTGCGTGCGTGCGTGCATGGGGGCGGACATCCTCACTGCACCCTCCATAGGTTGGGAGTGGCAGGGTCTGCAGCAGGATGAGCCCAAGTGGGAGGGCTTTTCACTCTCAAGTTCTAGAAGGGGACAACGGAGTGGAAGAGCTGATGGGAGCAAATCCAACCTCATTTCCATTTTATTACAAAAGACCCACTATACAGAGTTGGAGATGTGCCAGGGCATGGGTGTGAGATTTTCTGGTCATTGGCAGGTTCTCTGTGACTGGAAACATTTCCAAGCTACTCTAGAATGTTAGTATTTGTCTAAAAACATTCTGGATTTAGTGATTAGATATACAAGTTATGTGGAAAACATTTTCATGCAAAAATTTTCAAATTTCATACATAATACACATATCTTCATGGATTTTTTTGAAGTTCCGGTTGGCTGAGTTCATTTCTTGGGATTTTAAATACTTATTATTTATTTGAATGTCAGGGAGAGACAGGTCTATGCCGGTTCACTCCCCAGATGGCTGCAGTGGCCAGCCCTGGGCAAGGCTGAAGCCAGGAGCTGGAAGCATCTTCCCGTGTCCCACATGGGCAGCAGGGGCCCAAACACCTGGCCTGTCTCCTGCTTTTCCTAGTCCATTAACAGGGAGCTGGATCAGAAGGGCAGTTGGGATATAAACCTGAGCCCATATGTGATGCTGGCACTACAGGTGGTGGCCTTACCTGCCATGTCACAACGCCAGCCCAATTTTAAATACTTTGAACATCTAGTTCCTTTGAAAGTAAAGATGTCCAGAATACCAAGAAAAATGGAAGTTGGTAATTTTCAATAAAAACTTTGGGTACAATTTCTGGAAAGGAAGCAAAACTGAAGCTAATATTTCGTCCATTTGCATCTTAGATATTTTTAAATTTTTAAAAATATTTGAAAGATGTTCAATCTGCTGGTTCACTTCCCAAATGCCCTCAATAGCCAGGGTTAGGCCAGGCCAAGCCAGGGGCTAGGAGCTCCATGTGGGTGGCCATCACATCACCTGCTGCCTTCCCAGGGTGCACTTCAGCGTAAGTTGGAAGTGGAGCAAGGACTCCAAGCACTGTGATATGGGGAGCCAGCATCCTAAGCGATCTTTTTTAGTTTTTAAATTTACTTTTAAAGATTGATTTACTTATTTGAAAATCAGAATTACAGAGGGAGATACACAGGGAGCTGGATTGAAGTGGAGTGTTGGGACTAAAACCAGTGCCCATATGGGATGCCAGCACTGCAAACAAGCTTGACCTGCAGCACCAAGCACTGACCCCTAATTTTTTTTTAAGATTTACTTATTTATTTGAAAGTTTGAATTACAAAGAGAGGGAGAACAAGAGATCTTATCTGCTGGTTCATTCACCAAATGACTGCAACAGCCAACTTGTCAGCCAGACCAAAGCCAGGAGCTTCTTCCAGGTCTCCCACATGGGTACGGGGCCCAGGGGTTCTAAGTATGACATTAGATTTTGAGGCACTGAGATGCATAGTTAAAATAAGTATTAGACTTGATTTTTATTGAAATTCCTAACAGCAATACAACCATGATGTAATGAAAGGTTTCAGTGATTGGAGATGGACCTGGTCACTAAGGGTTCTCACCATATTAGGTTGTCCCCTTGATCATCATCACCATTAGCAGCAGCAGCAGCAGCAGTGGGGGATGATTATAATGAACTTGGTGGAATGCGCTGTTGGCAATTACACTTTCACTCAAGACTCTGAAGGGTAAAATCTGGGTTCTTTGGCACTTGTTTAAATGAGGCTGCCATTCACTTGGTGTGCTGTTCCTTGTCTGTACTTAGCCGTCTCCTTGAAAGTAGGACAGCTGTGTGTGGGGGAGTGCTGTAAGCCACTGGCCGCGATGCCCACGTCCCAGACCGCACCAGTTTCGTCCTAGCTGCTTAAGCTCCTGGGAAAGCAGCACATAATGTGGCCCAAGTGCTTGGGCCCCTGCACTCCCATGTGGGAGACCTGGATATAGAGTTCTAACTTTATTCCTAGTTGTGTTGAACATTTTGCAAGTGCATATTACCTGAGATGTTTTGATGGGGAACTTTTGAAAACATACTTGTTTATTGGAGACAGGGAGCTCCCATCTGCTGGTTTGTATAGCAAATTCACAACATTCAGAGTTGGGCCAGGCCAAAGCCAGGAGACTGGAACTCTGCATCTCCACGTAGGTGGTAAGGAGCCAAGTAGTTGAGCCATCAGCTGCTGCCTCCCAGGGAAGCTGGGGCTTGAGCCCAGGTACTCCAGTATGTGTGCAAGTGTCCCAGTGGGTGCCTTACCCACTAGGTCAGACTCCCACTCCCCCCATCACTCGGGCTCTGAAGGCAGTGCTGACTTCAGTCTTTGCCTAGAAGCTTTGTTCAGGGTTCACATGGCGCACCCAGAATCGCCCTGGATCTGGGTCGTGGCCTGGAGCCGTCACCTTGTTTCTAGGACTCTTCTCATCTGTGGAGTAGTGTTTGCCAGGACCGTGTGGTGATCTCTCCAGTCCTGGAAGTGTTCACTTAAATGATAAAATCTGAAGGCTCAGTGAGTACTGACCAGTTCTCAGCCCCTGATCAGGGCCTGGCAGAGTATCCGGGCCTTGGTAGAAATCTGAATGAACGCGCTTTCCCATCCCTGTTGTAGGGTTTGTGAGGGAGGAGTGAGGACCCCGACTGACAATGTCCGGGAATTCTCTTAGAGTGGCCGGGGCCGGAGCCATGGCTGCATGCTCCACATCGAGGGTGGGACCAAGCAGGAAGTTGCAGACTTGATTCCTGGTTGTCTTGGTCGCTTTTTCCATTTCATGCCGTGTGGCTTTCCCGAGTCTCTCAGCCTCTCTGGGCCTCCGTGCCCTCTCCATTGCAGGAGGCCACTGAGTGAGATAAGTTCAGATGGTTCTGTGAGATGCCGGCAGCTCCTCTGGCTCTTGGCTGAGGGTCTTAGATCAGGCCCACCTTGGGACAGCACAGGCAGTAGGTTACTGGGTGTATTTCAGAAGAGCAGTTACTTTTTTTATGTGTATTTTTTTTAAAAGATTTATTTTGTTTGAAAGGGTAACAGGGGGAGAGAGACAGATCTTCCATCGACTGGTTCACTCTAAATGCAACAGCTGGGGCTGGGCCAGACCAAAGCCAGGAACCAGGAGCTCCATCTGGGTCTCCCAGGTGGGTGCAGGGGCCCAAGTTCTTGAGCCATCACCTGCTGCTTCCCGGGCCATCAGCAGGGAGCTGTATTAGAAGCATGGGGTAGCTGGGTAGCAGTGCCACAGTGCCTGTCCCAAGGGGTTAATTTTTTTCTTTTTTAAAGCTTTATTTGAAAGGCAGAGTGATGAAGGGAGAAGGGGAGAGACGAAGAGAAAGCTCTTCCACCCACTGGTTTACTCCCCAAATGGCTGCGGCAGCCACGTTGAGCCAAGTCAAAGCCAGCAGCCAGGAACTCAGAGTCCGGTGTCCCGCATACGTGGCAGGGCCAGCACTTGGCCGTCCTCTGCTGCCTTCCGAGATGCCTTAGCAGGAACTGGATCAGAAGTGCAGCAGCCGGGTCTGGAACCGACGCTCTGAAGTGGGATGCCTGCATGGCACCTGCGTCACAAGCAGTGGCTTGACTCGCTGCACCACGGCTCCGGGTTCTGGCAAAGCCTCTGGCTGGAGTCTTCCTTCGTTCCTCGCTTTTGCTGTGTTTGGTGATCAGTACTGGTAAGCGTGGGTGAGCACTGACATCACCTGCTGGCTGCTCGGACCCCAGCCGCCGTCTCTGCTGTCGGGTGCAGCCCTGATCTGACACAGCACTGGCTGAGGAAGATGAGAGTGTGTTCTGGTTCTCACTGGGTTGTGAAGAGGCAGGCTGGGACCGCGTCCTCGGAATGCCAGGTCCTGTGGAGACCCTGGAGACAGGTGCAAGAACCAACAGTGAACTCGAGTCCAGTGAGACAGGCGTGGAAGGAACAGCAGCACAGTGTGGCGTTTCCTTCTCTCGCCGCTGGGATCCTCGGGAAGGCTCGTGGCTCGCAGAGTCCGTTTCTTTGACTAATGTTTAGGTCATCCTTGGGTGTGCAGATTTGGGAGGGCAGGAGGAGACCAGCGTCCTCGGGTGATGTCATCAGCTGGGACGGCTTCCCTCCATGTTCATTTCAGTCTCCTGAGTGGGGAGGTCGTGCTGTGCCACTTGCCTGCACCCTTCCCGTGGTGGTGTGCTTGTCCCACTGTTCTATATGGTCCGGCACGGCCACTGACCGGGTGGTGAAACTGTTTTCCCTAGGGTGGGAGCTGTGTCCAGCGGGTCTCTCCCTTCCATCAGGGGTTAGTTTGGTTTTCACTTTCCAGATCTGTGCAGGACAGGTGCGTACAGGCAGGTGCACGGACCCCTGAGGCTCCAGACATACAGAGGCAGGAGGGTGGGCATTGAGGAAGCCAGCCTCAGCCGCTGGGGATTGGAGCGGCCACGCTGGGGTAGACTGTTTGCTGTATCAACTCAAACCCTTACAGCTGCCCTGCGAGGTGGGCAGTGGTCTTCGGGTGGTGCCTGGACAGCAGCTTAACTTTGCTTGGGAACTTGTTAGAAATGTAAACACTTGGGGACGGACACTTGGCCTAGCCCTGAAGCCCGGGGTTGGTCTGTTCACATCCCACGTTCCAGGGCCTGGGTTTCAGTCCCTGCTCTGGCTCCTGACTCCAGCTTCCTGAAAAGAGGAACAAGGCAAGCGATGAGAAGTTGGGTCCTGGAGCCAGCATCATGGCATAGCGGGTGAATCCGTCACCCGTGATGCCAGCTTCCCATGTGGGTGTCGGTTTGAGTCCCAGCTGCACCATTTCCACTCCAGCTCCCTGCTAATGTGCCTGGAAAAAGCAGCTGAGGATGGCCTATGTGCTTGGGCTCCTGTACCCACATGGGAGACCTGGAAGGAGCTTCTGGCTCTTGGCTTTTGCTTGGCCCAGCCCTGGCGGTGGGGAATGAACCAGCGGGTAGCAGATTCTCTGTCTGTCTGTCTGTCTCTGTCTTTCTCTTCTTCTCTCCACCCACCCCTCCCTCCTTCCCTCCCTCCCTCTCTGTAACTCTGACTTTCAAATAAGTAAATAAATCTTTAATAATAATAATAATAATAATAATAATAAAGAACCTGGGTCCCTGCCACCTGCATGGGAGCCCTGGGTCAGGTTCCCAGACCGTGGCTTCAGCCCTGGCCTGGTCTGGCCCCAGCCTTTGTGGGCATTTGGCTAGTGGTCAAAAGGTTGGGAGATCTCTATCTGTCTCAAATTAAAAAAAAATTCAGGGGGCCAGCGCCGTGACGCACTAGGCTAATCCTCTGCCTGCAGCACTGTTATTCCATATGGGCCTCGGGTTCTAGTCCCAGTTGCTCCTCTTCCAATCCAGTTCTCTCTGCTGTGGCCCGGGAAAGCAGTGGAGAATGGCCTAAGTGCTTGCATGGGAGACCAGGAAGAGGCACCTGTCTCCTGGCTTTGGATCGGCATAGCTCCAGCCGTTGTGGCCATTTTGGGGGTGAACCATCGGATGGAAGACCTTTCTCTCTCACTGTCTGTAACTCTACCTGTCAAGTAAATAAAAATAAAAAAATTCAGAAGATGAAAACTTTTGGAACTACCAACAGGTTGGATCCGAACCTTAGGGGAGGACCCAGCAGTCTGTTTTTGGAAGTCTTCCAGGTGGTTGTGGGGCAGGGTCAAGTTTGGGCAGTTTTGAGTCTGATGATAGTGACTGACAGGCCCTGTGTCTCCTGTGGTCAGTAGGTGCGTGGTGCACGCCAAGTGCTGTCCTGTGCTCCTGATCCACGAGGAGCCGGCTGGGCGGGAAGAGGATGGGATGAGAGCCCCGTCCAGTCCAGCAGGGAGGCGTGGAAGTGCTCAGCTCTTCCTGGGAACCCTGGTCCTTGGAGCCCCAGAACTGGGGAGGGGGCGGTCATGGGCAACGTCCTCACGGACAGAGTGTCCAGAGATGCAGCCACCACCCACGTGACCCGGGTTCTCATCCGGCTCTTGATCCCCACATTGCTCGTTATCTCAGAAATGTAAACAGCCACTGGCAGGCAGGCCGAGAGTCTGGGCCTGGCCTGCTGGAGCCACTCTCTGAGGGTCAGAGTTCACGAGGCATGGCCAGGACTTCAGTGCGTTTAAGAGAGAAAGAAGGGAGAAGGAAGGCGTGCTTCCTGCGATGTGTGCTGCTCCTGGCCCTGTGGGCAGGTGTTTGCAGACTGGAAACCTCTGGCTCAGATCGTCACGTCAGCGCTGCACCCAGTAATGCTCGCTTGCTGGCGCTTCTTAGGAATTTCAGGAACACAAACAAACGCGAGCTGCCCTGCACCCACCGTGAGACAGAAGGAGGGCTGTGTCCCGGGCGGGTCTGGGCTGGGCTCCGGGAGCTGTGGGTCTGTCCCTGCCGCCTGGCAGCCTGGCCTGAATGAGGTCCCGCCTTCCTTGCTAACCTTGGACCTAGGGCCCTGTGCTGAGGGGGCCCTCGCCTTCACCGGGGGTTGAGAAGGGTCCCTTCTGGTGCATGTGCAGGCAGCTGCCGCCTGGCGATGTGTGTGGCTGTGCCCAGCTCCCCAGCCCCTGCACTCTCTGCTCCCCGCCTGCATGCCAGTGCTGGCTCTGCTGTGCGGCCCACGAGGGCTCATGTCCCTGTGTTGTGCGTGTTTGTGCCTTGGCAAGAGGCTGCCCGCCCGTGCCTCTGACGGCGTCTTCCTGCTGAGAGCAGTGGGGTGGCCTTTGGCATCTGGGACCTGACGGTGGTTTCTCAGGCTCAGTGTGGCTGACAGTGGGGCTGGGCCGCTCCATGTGGTCGGGCGCTGAGTATGGTAGAGAGTCAGCAGCGTCTGAACAACCCAGCTGAGGTCGCAACCCCTGCAGTCCCAACCCACGCTGGGCAACATCCCGGGGACACCGCAGGTCTCACACCAGGGGCGGGGACACTGGCCTGTAGCAGGTAGTAGCGGGCAGAGGCCAAGACGCTGCTGAAGGTGGCCGAAGTGCTGGGGCCCTTGCACCTATGTGGGAGACCCGGAAGAAGCTCTTGGCTCCAGGCTGGCCCAGCTCTAGCCATGTGGCTACTTGGGGAGTGAACTAGTGGATAGAACTCTGTCTCTCCGCCATCTCTTTCTCTGTCTCTCTAACTCCGACTTTGAAATAAATAGATCATTACAAAAATGTGTGTTTCTGTCTGTGTGCAGTGTTCTGATAGGGCTTATTCACAAGCAGGAAGACAAAGGGAAGAGAAAGGCAGAAAAGAGCCCTGGGCGTTTGGGCTGCAGGGTGCCGGGCATCTCCAGGAGGCTCCTGCTAGTCCCCTCTACAGCTTGGTGGGGCGGGGCTCTGGGTTCCCACAGTCCAGGCCCTCCTGCAGGACAGCTGGTTTATTTCAAACAGGAAGCGGCTCGCAGATAACACCGCGGCCTCCCCTGCAGTGCTGCAGCCATGCGTCTCCCGGGAGCAGTGTTCTCCAGGAACGGGGACCGGCAGGACGCCTCTCGCGAGTGTGCTCAGGTGGGTGACAGAGCACACAGGTGCGGGCTGGCGGGGTGCCGAGACCTTGGGTTGCACCTGGGCTACTGGGGAGCGTACGCTTAGGTCAGCAGAAGATGCCGTCTGTCAGTGAATCGGGCACCAGAGCCCCACAGCTGGCCGACTGGGCAGCTCCTGGAGGAAGCTCCGTCGCTGAGCCGGCGTCTCCTACTCCTGGCGACAGAGGAGTCAGAGAAGCTAAGGCCCAGCAGGCAGGGCAGCCTTGCTGCTCTGACCCACGGGCGGTCCCTGCGGCAGACCCCATTAGTCGGCCCTGGCGGTGGTGGGCGGGCTGGTTTGCAGGGTGGGGGTGCTGGAGAGCAATGGCCTTGCCCAGGGCTCAGGAGTGGGAACCCAGGTGAGTCTTGAGGTGACTTTGTAAGAAAGGACTTTTCAAGTCCAGAGAGGGTCACCAAATGCCGATGGGGGTCATTTTGTCTCCCAGATTGGGCCCTGGCCCCGGCTGTCAGGACCTGGCTGTGTTGCTAAAGCAGAGGCCAGGTTGCAGCTCTTAGTTTATACCATAGTCCCGTAGCCACGGCTGTGCCCCGCGGGGCTTTGGCTCTGTGCCTGGTGGCAGCAGAGCGGTGCCCCAAATGCTCACTGAGATTCAATTTTGTGGACAACTTTGAAAGCCTGCTCACATGCGCTGAGGGAAAGAACAGGTGATGGTTGGCTTCAAGCTAGGGAGGCAGTAGGGAGCCGGCCTCTTGTTCCTCCATAGTCTCTGCGAGAAGCCAACAGAGGCCCTGTGTGCTGGGTGGGGGTCTTGCGAGCTGGTGCTGCGGGAAGCGGACGTTGAGGCTGGGGTTGCCCTGAGGCCCCCAGGCTCCGCTGTTGATGCCGTGAGATCTCTGTAGATGGGCATGAACACTGTGCGTGCACCCAGGGTGTTAGGTTTCTCCTTGCTGTCGGTTTCATTCTCACCGGGTGCTGCTTCTGAGAACTCCACACCTGCCATCCTCTTTCCCTGCATAGGAAGCAGGCTGCTCTCCCGAGGGGTGAGGGGCCTCGGCGCCCTGGCCCAGCCAGAGATAAGGATGTTGTTCTTACTGAGGACCGTTTATGCAAGGAAATTCTTCCTCCGTCAGCGTCCTGTGTGTGAGCGGCAGCCTGGGGACGTGTGGACCACAGGAAAGACCCGGGGCCCTGGGAAGCCAGGAGCAGGCCCCGCGTCTGCTGGGTTCTGTTTGTGTGGCTGTTGCCACCTCTCTGCTCCCCCGCTCATTCGCTCGCTCCCTGCTTCACTCACTCAGTTTGGCGCCTGCTTAGCCCCATTGCTGGGGAGCTCTGGACAAAGCATGGGATAGTCGCCCACCCCTGGGTGGTGCCTGGACCTGGGGAGCTCCGGACAAAGTATGGGATAGTCGCCCACCCGCGGGTGGTGCCTGGGCTGGGCCTGGAGGACACGGGGGACAGAACCCATCATCTGTTGAGTTTGAGACGTCTTCCGTCCACTGGGCAGTTTTCAGACGCGAGGGTGAGAGGTGCTTTCTCTCCCATCCCCGGGGTCTGCAAAGGCAGAGTGCTGTGTCCCTGGCCGCTGGCTGGGTCACCTCCACCGGCACGCCCCACCCCCCGTCCCTTCATTAACCCTCTGCTTAGCTTTAGGTGGACACCGGGCACTCAGTGTTCATGGCAGTAACATCAAAAAGCAGTCTCCATATTCTTTTCTTCTGTGGCTGCAGTGGGGACTCTGGGGAGGGTTTTAGACACATCCATGCTGCTGGGATGGGGTTGCTCAGATCCCAAGAGCTGGCTTTTCCAGCGTGGGTGACTGCACGTGTGCACCCTTGGTCTCTGTCCCCGAGGGTCCCGTGTATTTCTGGGAGGAATATGGAAGTAAGAGCAGAAGGGATCTCAGGTTCTCATGGTGGGTGGGGCTAACCCAGGGGCGGGACCCTGGCCTGCAGGGGCATCAGTCCTGGCCCCCTCCTGCTTTTGTATGGGCAGCAAACCACCAGTGGGTCTCGTGGGCTGTGCAGTGGGCTCTGCTGGGGTCTTCTGCATACACTGGATGTTGGGTTCCCTGAGCAATGGAGTTGGGAGGTGGTGATCTTTATGAGGGTCCTGGTGGAAGGAGGTTCATTCTCGGGCACTGCCCAGGGAAGGATCAAGGTTCTCAGGGCGCCTGGCCCCTGGGGACCTGTTGCTGCACAGTGAGTTGGCTCTCAGCCTTTTTCCCTCATTTGCACGCCTCCTGAGCCTGGCACGCCCCTGGTCTGCCTCTCCACCCTGTCCTGATGCTCCGGGGCCTCCCTAGCACCACGTTGTTTGAAATCTCCAGCTGCCAGAACCATGAGCCAAACAAACATCTTTACACCCTGCCCAGAATCCGGCATTTTCAAACAGGATTGATTTATGTACTACAAGGCAGAGTGATGGAGACGGGGAGAGAGATGGCAGCAACAGCAGGGGCTGGGCCTGGTTAAAGCCTGGGAGGCAGGAGCTCCATCTAGGTCTCCCACGTGGGCGCAGGGGCCTGAGCACTTGGGCATCTTCTGCTTTCCCAGGCCATAGCAGGGAGCTGGCTTGGAACCGGCCCCATATGGACCTGCTGCGCCACAACACCAGCCCCTCCCTGCACACTCCCCGCGGCTGGCTGCTCCATTTACTCTGTGGCTCAGGACAGGGGCTGATCTTTGCCTCCTCCTGCCCGGTCTCAGATAACTGTGGGCTCTGCTTCCACACGTGCTGCACATCCCCCCTTTTTCATAGCCTCCACCACCTGCGCATCGCCATCCCTGCCCACTGAGATGTCCACTCTCCTTGCTTCCAGTCTCACTCCCCTGAGAATGATCCTTTCCCAAAGCTACTGCCTGACCCAGGCCCCCTGCCTCTTGTGAGACCCCCAGAGGCCTCGGCGTGATAATGGGTGCCGGCTCTTCCCTCTCCTGCCCTCCTCGCCTGCATGGGACACGCCACCACCTGCCTCGTGGGTGAGCCTTCCCTGGGGCCTGGTCGGACGGCGGCAGCCCCAGCTCAGAGCCCACCTTCCCACCCTGCTCTTCTCTGTGCAAGGCGGCTCTGCCTGCCGCGGCTAAGACTGACGCTCCTACTCTCCTCCAGCACCTGGAGCCGTGCCTGGCGGAGGTTGGCATCTGCGAGTGTTGCAGAATGAGTGACTGTGCGGAGCGGACGCCAGGCGGCATCTGCGGCTCGGCCTCTCTGGATGAGTGGGTGCCCTGCCTTCCAGGGGCCTTGGTGCTCCCCAGGGAGCCCCCTTTCTGGTCTGGTGGTTTCCAGGGGCCCACTTGGCTTTGCTGGTCTTAGTGCCTCTCCCCATGGAGAATCAGAGGAGCAGCCAGCCTGACCCCACTATGGGACAGGTGCAAAGCCTCAGGCCACTGGCTTGTCCAGGGCTCCTCGCTAGTCATCCTGGAGCTGCCCCGCCCCCGCTGCGTTCCCACGGGGACGTGGGTGCTGGATCGCTCATGTGTGAAGGGAGTCACCAGACCAGCGTGCCTGCGACAGCTCCGCCCAGACATTTCCAGCTCCTGGATCCCGCGGCCGCCCATGCAAGGTGCCCTGTAGTCTTGTGCCAGAGTTGTCTGTCCTGAGGACCAGAAGGAGGTCCTGGGGGGCCCCTCTGCTCCCGGCACAGCCTGGACGCCATGGGCCGGCATGCGGGAGGCTCCTGGAACGAGGGCTGTGAGCATCATGGGCCAGGAAACCCCTCAGGGGAGCTTCCCAGTCGGCTTGCTGGGTAGCCGTGGGAGGGGGGGGGAGCCGCCAGGGCCAGCCCCCGGACAAGGGCAGAATGGGGAGGCTCCACACAGCCCAGCTGCCCTGGGCCCACGGTGAGGGGCTGTGGCCTGCCTGGCCTGGGTTTGCTGCCACTGTTTACTCTTTCCTTCCATAGGAGGCAGTGTCCTGCCTGCACTCAGGATGAAGCTGGACCTGGCTCTTTCCGGCACTCTCATCAGCCTGGCCGTGCTGGCGCTGCTGCCTCCTGGATGTGCCCAGCAGGCTGCGGACGACGCCTGCTCGGTGCAGATCCTCGTCCCGGGCCTCAAAGGTAACCGCCCTCTCTGGGCCTGGGCTGGTCGGTGGCCTCCAGGCCAGCTGCAGGGTCCTGCAGACAGCTGGGCAGTTCAGCGGAATGGCACAAAGATGGGCTCCGGCTCCCAGCTGCTCACTTCCCTGGCCTGTTTCTGCGTCTGTATCCAGGGCTGGGCTAACCTGTCCTCAGCCGTGGGGTTCTGCACTTCTGAAGAGAGCTGTTTGCACTCAGCCCTCCCTTAGACCGCAGGAAGGCGCCCGAGGCTGGGTCAGGCCCTGCAGGTGTGAGCCCATGGGGGCCCTGGATATGGCCTGATCGCCCCAGCCCGTTTCTCGGGTGAGGAAACCTCAGGCTCAGAGAAACTCAGCAGTTTGCCAAGGCCCTCATGTTGCTGCCCTGGCTCCCGAGAGCTCCTTATTCCTGATTTTTAAGTTTAAAAAGCACCTTTTCGTTTTTGCTTTGTGAGTAATTTACTTCTGGAAGGTCAGTCCTGTGATCCAGCCGTGTGGCGGGGAAGCCACGGAGGCGCTGCTGTTGGAAGCTTTGCGCGCAGTCTGCGTTAGGAAACCTCCAGTTTCCACACAGCACAGGTGGCAGAGTCCCGAG